GAGCCGCTCCTTGGCGGCGGCGCCGCCGCCGCGGAGCCAGGCGGGCGGCGCAGCGGCGGCCTGCTCAAGGGTCGTGCCTGCGCGCCCGGCGGTGGGGGGTCGCGCGCGGGGCGGGGGGCGGAACCGGCGACGCCATACCATGAGATCATATCAGATCAGATCAGATCGACAGATGGTTTGAATGACCCCAGACCCCACCACCACCAGGGCGATCCCATCCTGGGCCCAATCCAATCCTGCTCCTCTTGCCTCAGCCCGCTGCGATCAAAAGGGCATGCAGGCGCATCCGACCGCACCCTAACGCCTTGCTGATGTCGGCACCAGCGCCACACCCCCCAGCAAGGCCCCAAAGGCGCCTCTCTGATTGGCAGTTTGTCCCACGAGCAGAGGCGCCCTTCAAACCAAGGTCCCCCCCAAGGGCCCCTCGGGCCTCACCCGCGGTGAGGCAGCCCGACAGCGCCCGCCACAGCCCCTCCCCCGGCTGCCCCGGCCCCGCCCACTTCCGGCCGTCCGCCTCCGCGTCCGCCGCAACAGCGCCGCCGCCGCCGCTGTCTCCGCCGCCGCCGCCGCCACCGCCGCCCAGCGCGGGCGCCGCGAAGCATTTCAAGGCCGCCTGCGCCCTCTCGTGAGCTATGGTGTTTGCATAAAGGTCCAGCCGCCAGCCGGGGCCCCTCACGTGCTCGGCCACCTGTCGATTTGAATTTCGAATCAGATCGGATCATATCAGCAGGTTGCCTTGGTTCGCCGCCACCTTCATCTGCACGCGTCTGCTCGCCGTCCTGCGTCATTCTCACTCAGATCCCGGTCGCGTTGCGCGAAGCGAAGCGGCCGTAGGGGCGGACGGCCGCACCTGCGTTGGCAGCGCGACCCGCAGCCAGCGGGTTGAGTAATCCACGACTACACCTTCCAATGAGTCGCCCCCCGGGTCGCCCCTGCTGATAAGGATGATGTCACCCTGACGGGGGGGGGGGGCGGGGGTTGGAGCATTCAAATGCAGGGTTCAGGCGCTGGGGTGCGTGAGTCAGGGCACAAGCGGGAGTGCTTGGAAGTGAGGAGGAACATTTGGCCGTCTCGGGGGCTGGCAGCCGGCATCCGCAATCCTCCTGTGCCAATTCCGGGGCAGGCAATCATAGCAGAAACAGGCAGGAGTAATGAGGAACAACTTGGGTACGGGGATCATGAGACAATATGGGACGCGGCGGCCGGAAAAGCGGTGCGGCGGCGCAAACGCGCGCCCCAAGCCGCCGACGCGCAAACCGGTCCCAATGCGTGCGATACCCGCGCGCGCCCCAACCAACGCAGGCATGCGCGTGTGCGCGCACGCGCGCGCGCTCGCCTGCGAGAGCGCGTGGAATGGCAGCGGCTCGTTGGGCCGAAAAAACTTGAGCACTGAGTCGCGGTAAATCTGGCCGTCCGCGGCGGCCGACATCTGAAACAGCGCCACGCCCTCTGCCGCCAGCCGCTCGCGGCTCCAGGACTGCTCGCATGCGGGCGGCGGCGGTGGGGGCGCGAGAGGGCATGAGTCATGCATGGTGCCGTCCAACCCTTTGCATGGCGAAACGCGGGCATGCGCGGGGGGACATGCGCGCCGCTCGCCGGCCGCGGGCGGGGGCGGGGACGCAGCTGCTGACATGTTCTGACAATACGTCGCCGCACCAGATCAACAGATCAGATCACCTGCAGCCGCTGCTCCGCCTCCTGCCACTCCTCCTCCAATTCCAGGTCGAGCGCCAGCCCAAACGCCGCCACGTACGACTCTAGTAGCGCGCGCGCCGCGCCGCGCTTGGCGCCGCGGCCGCGGCCGTTGCCGCCGCCGTCGCCGCCGGAAGCTGCCGCCTTGCCTGTCGCATGCTCGACTGCAATATCAACAAACGGTCGCGGGTCGTTGCCGCCGTCGTCCGAACCATTATCGTCCCCGCCGCTCTCGCCGCCGCGCATCAGCCGCTGCATCCGCTGCCTGCTGAAGCGGCCGACGCGCTTTGAGGCCGACCGAGCCATCGCCGCGGTCTGGCTGTTCAGTGGCGCCGGCGCGGGCGTGCTGCCCTTGCTGTCGCTGCGGCGCGGTTCGCGCGAGCGACGCCCCCCAGCACATGTAAGCACGAGCGCAGCCCGGCCGTTCCTGACGCCGCATTTCACATGTCTAATGTTTACTTGTAGCATTTTCAGGGGCACTGATTTTGTTTGTGACGCGCGCGGCCTGATCTGCAAAGCGAGTACGCTTGATTCTTTGAAGAGATGAAGGCAGTGATTGAAGTTCTGTGGGGTCTACTGACAATTGAACAGCTCGCTGGTGGGATCACGTGGCTGCAGTGAACAGTGTCACTGAGTCACCCACAAGTCACCACGCATGTCCCCTTCAAACTTTCGGCGGTGTGGTCCCAACATCATCAGGGCTGTGTGCGTGCGCGTGTTAATTTGTGTGTGTGTTTGTGTGTGCGTTTGTGTGTGTGTGTGTGTATGTGTGTGTGTGTATGTGTGTGTGTGCATGCTTGCGTGCGTGCTTGCGTGCGCGTGGGGGCGCCCCGCATGCGTGCGAGGGTGGAGCATGCGATTTCTTTGCGGTACTTGTTGCCCAATGCGCCACCGCTGACAGGTGCAGGCACTACCGCAGGCCACGTAATTGACTTGCATCGTGGTTGTGTTCTGGTGCTCCAAGACTTGTCCATTACCATCTTTATAAGTGACAGGTCAAAACAGTACCCTGCATGAGGGTTGCGGCCATAAGCCACGGCAGGGGGGCTGATACCCAGCCACGCTCCCTGAAGCACTGCTGCCTTAGCCACACGTGCTGCATAGTCCGGACAACCAATAAGCAGGTGCAAGCTGCGAACAGACCCCACGCAAGCCAAGAAAGCCCAGGATTGGAGCGCACCCCAACAGCAATCACTCGTGCGCACTCGAAATGCAAACATGCAATCGCAGGTAGGGTGCAAGGCAGTGGTTTCCAGATGAGCTGTACAGAAAACAATGGCGTCACCGGCGAAACGCATACCAGCGCCCCAGCGGGAGAGTCCTGAGCCTCAGACCAACCGCCCCTGCCTTGCACACAGGCCCACAAGTAACCGAGCAACGAGGCAGCACGCGCGCTCACCACTGCCTCTGCGGCAGCGGTGGCTGCTGCTGCCACGGCTGGGGTATCAAGGGCGGGGCACCTTGCCCCGGGAAGCCTGCAGCAGGCACAACACTGATGTGCCGCTGGCCCCAGCCGCCCGTCAGCTGCGGTCCAGGGTACACTTCCCGCCCCGCGCCATTGGCTGGCAGCATGACCGAGAGGGGCAGGAACGCGCCCGTGAACCCAACCGTACCTCCACCCGTGCGCAGCGGCGCCCCCATGGGTGCCGGCCCGCCGCCTGCCACCTGCACGAAGAGCTGCTGCCCGGTATAGGCCGGCACATACTGCTGCAGCGCGTAGCTGCCACCCTGCGCGTGCCATCCGGCGGCGGAGGAGGAGGGCACGCCGGCGGGCCCGTACATGGGGGTCACCGGCAGCCGCTGGAGGAAGCTGGGCAGGCCGTTGCCGCCGCCTTTGCTGCTGCCGCCGCCGCCGCCGCCGCCGTCGGGCGCGGAGGGTGTACCCTTCGCCTGGCCACCCTGGGCGCCGCTCGCGGACGGGCGCGGCGGGGGCGTCGCCGGGGCGCCCGCCGGGGGCGCGCTCTGAGTCGCAGCGAGGGCTGGCGGTCCTGCAGCTGCTCTGGGCGCGGCGGCGACAGCGCCGGTGCCGGCACCGGCCAGCCCGGCCGAGCCACCATAGCCCCCCTCATCCTCGTCTTCCTCATCGTCCCCTTCATCGCTGCTGAAAGTCATCTCATAAGTTGATATAACGTCCTTATACTGTGGCTGCAGCACCCGCGCCC